TTTTGGACACCTGAAAACTTTTTTAATGCCATTAATATACTGCACGGATTTGTGTGTTGGTTGGCTGCATCTATTTATTAGTAAATAACAATATTGCACGCTGTTTCCAAGCAGCATATCTGTTTTGTGTCAAGATTTTGTGTGTTATAAATATTACATGTAAATCGACTATATATAAACTATATTTTTATTAACATACCATGCGAGGTGAACAAAATCCGCATTAAAATCACTTCAAATTATTGTACAACTGAACAAGTCACACGACAAGAGAAACAATATTATTTGCTTGATTGTATTTAAAAATAAATAATCCATATTTTCACGACATTTTAGAGAAATACCAGAATTAGTGCAGAAAATTTCCAATTCGTTATATTATAAATTCGTCCGTTTGTTTATATTCGCATAAGTGATATATTATTTAATTACTATTTTCCATATTTCACGCTGACAATACGTCAGACTCCTCGTGTTTTCCATATTTTTCTCTGACGTCAGACTCCGTGTTTTCCATATGACTCCGTGTTTTCCATATTTTTATGACGTCAGACTCCGTGTTTTCCATATGACTTCGTGTTTTCCATATTTTTATGACGTCAGACTCCGTGTTTTCCATATGACTCCGTGTTTTCCATATTTTTATGACGTCAGACTCCGGGACTCCGACTCCGGGACTCCGACTCCGGGGCTCCGGGACTCCGGAACTCCGACTCCGTGTTTTCCATCTAACCCGAGATAATGTATTGAATCGATATTTGAGGAACACTTCAATAGCGTTGTCCGCAATTGACGTCACGAAAATTCGACCCCCCGCGGAGACTCAGACAAACATTGGCAACATTTAATATAAATAGTATTAGAGAACATTTGTAGAAAGTTTTATCGTGAGGCCACGGCCAGTTTTTAAAATATCTTTATTTCTGTTCCGGTCATCACCAAAATTACACAAAAGCCGGGCTTGAATATACAACAAATTTTGAATCGCATCAAGCACAAAAATACTTAACGTGTAACCAAAATATGCTCATGAAATCGAAATTAATAGCTAAATTTTCAAACTAGACCCTTCTCGAAGCGGTTTTCATGAAGGAAGTTCACATTTCGGCCTTTGATTCTTGGCAAAAATTTGACCGCAACACGTGCGAAGCAACTGGGTCTCAAAGACTGAACTAAAACATTGTGAGCCCCTATTTTCCTGACGATATGTTTGATACCTACAAACGCCGAAAACCTTTTTCTTTTCATTTAGCTATATTTGAAATTGAGGCCACGGGCTATTTTTGAGAAAATACAGTTCAAAATCAAGCTATTTTTACATATTTTCAAAATTTGTCAAATTTCGCGAGCTTGTATTTTGAACTTAGACAGCTGAAGTTACATTAAGAAACATAGGATGGAAAATTTGAGGCATATAAAGTTAATTTCAACTTACATTTCATTCTCAAATCACGTCTTTCTTCGTTTATTACGGTTTTAAACAAGCCATAGATCGACGTATACGGTATTTACTCCCATGTTCACGTCGCCATATGAACTTCTTCCAATCACTCGATTACAAAACAATCATCCCAAAACAAAGAATTCATGATCGACTTTTAAAAGAATAACCAATAATTTGTAAATCGTTGAATGGAAAGCAAAAAATCGTCACCTAAAACAGCTTCTTGCTAACTTTCTGCTTTGTTTTGAATGCAAATGCAATGAGCTTTGTTTCTGCCCGCAATTTTTTGGTCAGCGACGACAAATTTCCCACCTGTTATCGTGTTTGACTTTCAAAGGCCCATAAATCGTTACAATGTTAATAATGACTATAACTATCGTTTGGAACTAGTCTATCTTTTATTTCTGAATCGATTGGTGGTATTTCTGTCTTCATAGCATGCACTGAACCGAAAGTATGAAATCGCTCGCGATCGACGCAATTGGACCCTGTTGAGAAAGAGTTTTAAGCATGCAAATAGCTGATTTTTAGGAAAAATGTAACTTTGCGTGAATAGTGAAGGGGCTTAAACTAAACCAAATTGTCTGAAATTTTGTACAGTTATTAAAAATCCGACAAATTTTCCGTCTATTAACTCAAAATATGATTGCAGCTTTTAAATTTTGTGCGCGAGCCACTTTTACTTTGTTGGAAAAGACACCCCCCCCCCCTGGTTCACAAAATTTGAGTTCGCGAAATTTTTTTCATTGTTCTACATTATAAGTACCCAAAGAAGCTATATATATAAAAAACCGGATACAAATAAGTGTTTTGCGAAATTGAGAGCAATTTCAAATCTGTTCAGTTTTTTTTATACACCCTGTATATCATAATTAAGATAACGAGAGCAATTCGTTGCTTAGCAACTGCGACGATAGTATGTTGTCGAACGTTGTCGATCTCTATTTAACCGTGCAGCGTTTTAGCTTAAAATTTTACTTTCTCTTATAAACCTTCCATTTTTCTTGATCGAAAGTTCGTTTAGTCCAATGTCTCCTCATATCAGAAGCACTTTTTGCTCTCTGAATATTCTTGGCCATTAAACCTGCTTTTCTTTCCCAAGCTCTCCCTTGCAACTCGCTTGCTGTCACTGGTCGAACTTGTCGACATTCTGTTCTTTTAACTTGTCCACATTTTGGTCTTTCGATTGTTGAACCTAGTCTTCGAAAGCTTGATATTGCCGAAGGAGATATCTCCTCGTTACTTTGAGAATCAGGAATTGTCTTATCGAACCCGTTCCTTTGAGAGTGTACGTGTTCTATTTCTCCTTTCATCTTTTCAATTTCTTTTATTTGGTCAATACTTCGTAGAATGCGATGTAGAAATTTATGAGTAACCATACGTTGATCAGATGCGATTCGTTTAATCGCTTCATTTTCTTGTCTTCGAAGTAATTCCAGTTCTTTCTTCAGATGAACTTGCTCTTTCCAATTGGCTGAATGAACAACTTGAGATTTTTCCGAACTGCCTACAGACGACTTTTGTCGGTCAACGTAACAAAAAGAAAGCATCTTAGTATAAACTTATGTCGAAAATGTGTGCAAGAATAAACGTTCGTGTGGTAAAGACTGGCAGTGATGCACTGAGTAAGCAAAGCGAAGGACAGCGCCAGTGGAATGTTAAATGTTTTCGGGGCTGTTAATTACGTAATATGTTTGGGCTGTCAGAATTTTTTCCATGTCGCCTTCTCAATTAGTATGTCGTCTTATTGGTCTTAATGAATAAAGGATTAGTGAACCTTCCTTTATAAGATGTCCAATCTCATTTGACATTTGTGATTTGATTCATTTCTCAATTGAAATTAACACTATTTAGCAGATATCTCTCATAGTCAATAGGCACCTCTCTAATAGCGAAAAACATATAACGTGGGTTTATTTGAGATGTTCTCTATGATTTGTTGCAATGTTTACTTTAAAGTCTAAAGCAAAAGCGCATTATCAGTTACTAAGTTTATTCATGAAAATCCATTAATCCCTGGGATTAACTGTTTAAAAACCTCGGCTCGGTTCATTTACGGAATTTTTGAATGATCCAATTAATAAATTAGAAAGCAACTAAAATGTAAACTACACTGCATGCACAACTGATGGAGTGACAGGCCTACAGTTTGTTCACTATTATATTCAGGTTTTTTTTTAAAAAAGAACCGCATGCACATACCGAGATGCGGTTACTTGGCGGAGGGAGGCAAAGAAATGTTAATTGTAGATTATGATAGCTGTTTTTAATTTGGATAGTGTGCAGGGTACACACGTAAGAATCTCACAACTTGTTAACAAGATTGTTATCACGTTGTTATCACGACTGTTGAATTGCAGGACGATAACAAGTCTGTTGAGCAGCTCACCAACCCTGTAGCAAGTTGTTAACAAGTCGCTGACAACTTGTCAGCAAGCTGGGAACAAGTAGCGCGAACAAGTGCGAACACATCCTGTTGACATGTGTAGCGGTATACGTCGCCAAAACATACCGAGATATGTACCGTGTTTCAATGCGCAATACACAATAAAAACTGACAAAACAAAAGACTCCAAAACAATTTTCTTACACCAATTTAACAAAACGTGCATGCGATAAAACACTGTGGTTCATTACAGACGTTCTCCCCACGTCTCTGTTTCTATACCGCAGGCTCAAATTCTCTAATACTTCTTGACGATCGTAACGAAATGCCTTCATACACTACCCTAATCAATCTCGTCTCCAGGGAGGAAGACCCTGGGGACGAGGTTGTACCGTAATTAGCTACTGAAATCCTATCTCATACCGATACACCGGGGGGTCGATACGATCGCCTTCTAATCAAGTCAACGAAATTTAAACAACTTAATTATTCATGTGTTGGTTTACAAGTTTCAGTTGTCATCTTTATCATGTGAAATGCATAAGTACAAGTAACGCAAGGCGTTGCAGACTTCTGCTGGTACAAGTAACACGAGGCGTTGCGCACTTCGAGAGACAGTAACAGCTTCAGATGGTGGAAAATGGTCAACAAAATGTCCGGTAAACCTGAGAAAACAAAATCTTTCTCTTTAGAACGTAACGGGGAAACTCTGAACGACGAACAACTAGCAAGTGCCCTTAATGAATTTTACGTCTCTGTCAACGCGGATATTCCGACATTTGATGTAAATTTACTGCCCGCATTCTTACCGGCTAACGACGGCTTTTTATCCGTTCAACCTTACGAAGTCTGTCAAAAACTATTGGCTCTTCAACCTTATAAAGCAACAGGACCTGATAATGTACTAAGTTGATTTCTAAAAGATTTTGCTCACGTGCTAGCCGATCCAGTTACCACCATTTTTAATGCATCCCTTTCCTCTAGCGTCGTCCCGAGAATTTGGAAAGAATCCAATATCATTCCAATCCCGAAGGTACAACAACCCGAATGTGAAGGAGATACTAGACCAATATCGTTGACCTCTTGCCTCTCCAAACTGCTGGAAGACTTTGTTGTAAGTTGGCTAATTGACGACGTCAAGGGAAAGATTGACCCCTGCCAATTTGGCTGTTTGAAAGGAACGTCGACCACCTTTTGCCTCCTTGATATGCTCCACTCTTGGCTCTCCCATTTGGACTCGGACTCCAACGGTAAACACATTCGTATTAGCTTCTTAGATTTCTCGAAGGCCTTCGACCGCATTGGATACAATATTCTCATTGAAAAACTGCTAGACCTGGGCGTTAGGCGGTCTTTAATACCCTGTATTATAAACTTTCTTTGTGATCGAAGACAACGAGTTAAAATTGGAGAATCCTTTTCAAGCTGGCTCCCAGTGACGGGGTCCCTCAAGGGACTAAACTTGGTCCAATATTGTTCCTCATTATGATTAATGATTTGAGAGTAAATTCCCCAGGCACGAAAATGTGGAAATTTGTAGACGATGTCTCATCTTCTGAAAATCTTACATCGAACAGCTTCTCGGCCACTCAGTCAACTCTTGATTCTATCGATTCATGGGCAACTTACAATTGTATGAAATTGAATGCCAAAAAGTGCAAAGAACTCCGGGTTTCCTTTCTTAAAGAAACCCCGCAGCTACCATCTTTGACAATTGATGGTCACGTGGTAGAAACGGTACAATCGCACAAAGTGTTGGGTTTAATTATTCAAAACAATCTTAAATGGGACGAGCAAATTCGATCAATCGTCACCAAGGCCTCCAAACGATTATACGGTCTTCGGGTATTATGCCGCGGTGATGTCCCTCCTGCTGATCTTACCAACATACAGTATACTTCGCGCTTATTCGTTCTATTCTGGAATACTGTTGTGAGGTATGGGATTACGCGATACCCCGCTATCTGTCTGACGAACTGGAAAGAGTACAAAAGCGTGCCATGCGCATTACCTTTCCTGGCCACTCATACGACGAAGCTCTCCAATTGGCTAATTGCACAAGACTTAGCGACAGGCGAAACGAAACCTGTATAAATACCTTACAGAAGATTGCTAAACGAGCAGGTCCCCTTGTTGAACACGTGACACAATCCAGAGCTTGTGCTCAACAATATTATATTAGAAACTTAAATAATCTGTCATTGTATAAATGCAGAACTGAACGTTTTAAAAACAGTTTCTTTCCAAGAGCAATTGTTGAACGGAATGCCATGAAATAGAGAAAGGAACCTACCCTAGATTAAATTATTAAATTTTAACAATATTCTTAACTTACTATTCTTAACTTATATATTAATTATATTCGTAACCTATTTTACCTTAAATTTTATGACCGTGTAAATAACTATAAACTAAATTTGACTTTGAATGTAAACACATTGTAATTCATTGTTTATGCGAAAATGTGTCATTAAACACCAAATAATAATAATAATAATCACTTTTTTGTAGTTAAATAGTGATTAACTCTCAAATAGGCGCTTCTTATTGGGTGACATTTCCACTTAAGGTAATTCCGCAGTAATTGTTCCCGAAATGAGAATGTGCTGAAACTTCCCAGATATGGAGTTTATGATATACTTAAAGTAAAATCACACAAAAAAGTCGGGGTCACAGAACTCGTTAAGAAAATATGACAATCACAATATACCACCTTTACCCCAATATGGCACCATCTTGACGCTCATTACCAGTAACAGCAAAACTCACAACAGCCTGATATTTGTTGACGTTTTTAGCGCGGATTTTGCTTTAGTAAACCTATCTTGTAATTATTTTTGAAAAAATATTGTGTTTTGAGCAAAATGAAACTACTAACGTGTACAATTCTGATCCACAAATGTCTTTTGCACATTTCTTTACATATCTTACTTTGAGAACATGCATTGATAAAGCATTTTTTTCAAGATCCAGAAAGGATTTTTCTTTTAATTTCGGATATGATGTGTAAAATGCATCAAAGAAATAAATTATCAGTTAAAAAACGGGGGTCACCGATCTTTTTATGGAATTGTGGCATTAAAACGTGAAATACAAGTAAATTAATATACTACAGACACAGAACCCTAGCTACACTTTTGTATGCCTTTTTTGAAAACATTGATTTTAACGAAATTCTTTGCACGAATGTAACCAAAGATGTTTTGAAGTAACATAAAATTGTTATAAAATGATTTTTTTTAAACGGTACGTATAATGGATGAAATTATAAGTTATAAGATGTGCGCAGTAAAAGTGCGCAATGCAAAACTGCGGAATTACCTTAACTACGATTAACTTTAATCACTTTTTTATACAACCGGCCCCTGGAAACTAGGTCGGTAAAGATAACACCGTACGCTTTACCACTAGCCCGTTTTTGAACTTCACCACGAACAAGATAAGGACCAAATAAATCGAGAATGGTGTATGTAGGGGGGGGTTGCAGGCTTGAGTCGAGCTTCTGGCAATCGTCCCGTCTCTTGATCTCCTAACTTCGCGTCCTGAAGTTTACACAATTGGCACTTATTTTTTACAAATTGTGCGATTTTGCTTCCTTGTGCTATTTCTGTCTAAAACGAACGAGAGTAGCGTCACGACCTCGATGTCCACATTCTTTATAGGCACGCTTCATTAGCAATCGAGTTAGTGGATGGGAAGCCGGTAGCAACTTCTGTAATGACGCATTGGGTGTCATTGAGTTCCTATTCCACAGACGTTGACCAACTACGTAATAACCATATTCATCTTTACCAGGATTTAAAGATGCATAACGACCGCCCTTACTCCTTTCCTATCAGTTTTCTCGACTTCATTTTCTAATTCTTCCTGTCCTGAACATCTTTCACCAGGAAGTTTTCGGTTTTTTGAAGTAGCTGAGGCGATATATGCTCGAAGTGTTTCCTCCCTTGAATGACTTGCGTTTTGCCATACTGAGAACTAGTGCTCTTGCTACGACCCAAGTAATTCTGCTCACGTTACTTGAATTATTATACTCTATGAGAGGGACATTCGAAGAGACTGCCGAAGTATAACGAATTTTCTTTTCTCCAGATAGAACCTCGTTCTTTAGGATTCCAAATTTCAAATCCCATTCTCCGAAAGGCTGACATGAAATTGAAGGCCCATTCCACTAATTAACAGGAATCTTCACCTAATTCATCAGGAGAACGACCACATGTAAGTCAGTCTGCTATGTTGTTTTCACTAGACAGCCATGCCCAACAGGAAACGTCACCATCCGTAGCAGCCTGAATTTCGCCAATATATTTTGACTCCTTCACACACTTCAAAGCGGGTGCTTGTTTTGTTGATCATGCTTAGAACGATTTCTGAGTCAACCAGTTGTAACACCGTATTTCTGATTCAATCACTTTCCTTCCTCGTTTTGACAACACTGCCGCATTCAATTCCATTCGAGGAGTGGACAACTTCAAGTTCAAAGGAGCGATCCTGCATTTTTCCATAATCAGACGACACCAGTACAGTTCACTTCGAGGGCACCATCTAATGTAGGCAGTGAACCATAGGCTACGTCACTTCTGTCGCCAAGAATTATGAGTCAAGGTCGACCGACAGCAGCTTCGGGTCGTAAGCGACGCGGGAACCGTAACTGTTTGAGCTGGGATAACGTGGTGAAAAAACGAATCCATTGGGAGTGAGATCGGCTGGAAGCGGGCTGTCCCAAGCGAGGTTTCGAGACCATGTTTCGTGCAAGTACACTTTCGCCAACAATGTGAATGGGCATACTAGCTAGTCCGAGTGGATCGTATACTTTCATGATTTGTGCGAGTACTGTCCGTTTAATTTCATGATCAAACTGACGTCGGGCAAGGACTTCGGTAAATCAGTTTTCCAGTTAAGATTAGGACCAGCACGTATTCCGCGCCTTTTCTTACTAAGTGCTTACGTCACACAATTGTTAATACAGAGGATTTTAGTACAATGCACAGTGCATTGTGGGATACTTTTGGGTCAATAATTCATTGTTTAAAAATTACATGACGTAAGCACTTCTAAGGTCCATCCCAATTGAATTATCTGAATTAAAACCAAACGTGAATTTAAATATAGAACTTAATACTTCAAAATTTAAAAATTCTATAAACCCAGATGAGTTGGTTTTTAACAGCGGTCATAGCTGGAAACAGTTGTTGTTGGTTCTTACATAACAGAAGAGAAACTCACAGTACTCACTTGAAAGATCCGGCTTCGTACAAGATTCATCTTATAAGCTGTACGCATTTTTTGCCTGAAAGAAATCGAACTAGCGTAAATTTGAGGAAGAAGCGCGTGGTTTAATGGTTAAATATATGGGCAAAACTGCCCGCTGTTGTGTTCAACCCGACCGCACTGGCATCGCAGTATACCCAGCCGGGGTGGCAATGCAAATTTTGTTGTGTTCGTAGACTGTAAAGACAATAAATTGAAAATAAATGAATAATGGTAATGATTTGAAATTTGCATTGCCGCCCCAGGTACTGATATTGCGCTGGCTACGCCAGTGCTCGACCGCCGTTGAACAACGGTGGTCTCGGGGCAACAAAACACGCTGTTTCCCTCAATCTCAGTAAATAAGTGATAAATATGAGGTGAATATAAATGGACTGCCGGTCTGAATGAAAATCAAATGCATTTTCAGTTCATCATGAAACAAATATTAAAAACACGTACATCGCTTTTGTCTAAGAGAAACATAATTGGCCGTTTTACTGAATGTTTTAATTACTCATTGCCATTGGTTTCGTGCAATAATTATTTTGGAAGTATAGTGTAGTGAATATGGCGAAAACATCAAAATGATAGATATTAGCATATATTCTCAATACTTCAGGAGTTCCCTAATACTAAATCAATTCTTATCGTTTCTTTAAAAATTGAAAAAATGGTTCACAACTTATTGTGTGAAATGATTTTCCAAGCTTTCTTTCATGTTTTTTTAATCTTTGCTTTCTTCACTCCTTGCAAACAGCTATATTTTTTAGGTCAGTGAGGATGACCACCCACGCATAGGCATGTCCCGATTGTGCTCAGCAACTTTTGAGTAACTTCAAGCAACTATTGCTGTTGACAGGATTCACAGGAATGATAGGCCGCACGATGAAACATGGTCATGCGCCCGCGATTATTGATGAACTTTAGACTTCGCTAATGCTTTCCTTTTCCCGTGTGTAAATAGTCGTGCGGAATTAGTACCCTCGCGAGGGGCTTGCGCCCGGAACGGCGCTTTGCGCAGTTGGCTAGGTCGGGCGCGCAACACCAGCCTTTTATTTTTTATTTATTTATTAAAAATTCTTTTAACACGGTAGCCTATTCAGTGTTAACATTTAAACTATATAGCTACAATGCTGATTTTCAAAGGGCAGTGTATATATATATATATATATATACCGGCAAAACAAACATCCCAACTATTACACTAACAATATACTAAATTACAAAGGAAATGACAAAGTAATAGATGAACAAATTAAACAACTATATACAATCATTTGGTTATTTCACGTCGCCCTTTAAAAGCATTAATTGATAGCTCTCGGAAATCGTCAGTTATATCACAAGATAATCGGTTCCACTTTGCCGCTCTATACAGAGGGTCCTGAAGGGGGTAAAATGGGAATTGGGGTTTGCTTATTTTTGGGTGGGAAAATGGGATTTCATGCACTGCATGGGACTGGGATTCATCAGCAAACTAAACAATAGAAAATGGGAATGGAATTAAGATTTGAGCAGGACAGCCACTGAGATGATGGGATTTGTGTTCTGGGACAATGGGATTTTGTCAAAGTTTGGGCTGGGAAATGGGAATCAACGACCCCCCTCCTTCAGGACCCTCTATACAGTAGTACGAAAAGTTAAGCTTCTTTTTAGGAAATTAGGTAAATCTAGTACGCGGACGTGACAAAAACACACCCTAAATTCACAGTGTCAGCAACACGGGTAAAAATATGGATTCTTTTTGTCAACAAAGAAGGATACAGGTGAAAAACAAATTGAAACTGGTGACAAATCCAAAAGAAAAGCATATGTGGCCATATGTGATTGTCTTTTTGTCACATCCGCGGACAGTCTGACAGGTTCCTCGTGTGACGTCATGAGTGGCAGTGTACCACATGACACAGTGTGAATGGTACCATAGCTATTAACTTCAGTGTTGCCAAGTCCAGGATTTTATCCCGAGATCTCGGGATTTTTTGAAGCGGTTGCGATTTTTTTTTTATTTTTATTTTGAAAAGTCAATCTCGGGATTTTTGGGGGATTTTTGAGAGAGGGAAGTTCGAAGTTTAGAAATTGATTTTTTGGTAAAATTGACTAGAAATAAACAATTTTGCTAAAAATCTAGGGTTTGTCCGCTCGTATTTGATGCAAGATTTCGTTTTTACAACATGACGTACGAGCCAGTATCTTACCCGAAATTGGCGCGAAAACCACCTAAATTATAATGACGTAAAAAAGTGGGAATATCGGGATTTTTTAGGGAATCTCGGGATATTTTGGGAGCTTACTTGGGATTTTTACAAAATTACTGTAGTGGGCGACGCTGATTAACTTGGTAGTCAATTTATCCCGGGCGTTCTGTGACCCCCGTCCGCGATCATATCAGATCATGTCAGCGGCTCAGCATTTAATTAATTAATACGAATTCGCGCGCGAATTATTAATTAAAGGTCATTAAAGATATTATTTTAATCAATATAATACACGTGACCCTAACTCTAATCTAACCGAAAGGTATTGTATAAAGGCAATCTTAAGAAAAATCGTAAAGAAAAAAATATGAGAACGAAAAACAAAATATTGGCCATTGCGGGAATCGAACTACCAATTAGCAGCATGTTAGATCGCACGCTACGCCCAAGACAAACGCGCCACCGGCACTCGCTGAAATACAAATGCAGAAAATCTAAATATATAGTGTTCACATATATAAATAAAACGATCCGCTCACATTTAGTATAAAATATTGTGATGGTATGGCATTTATTGTTTTTCTAGACACGTTAAGAATCTCAAATTTCAGAGAGGTTAGTTTGTGAATTTTCTCAGAGGACGTATTAATTTGCATGTACATGGGAATGTATTTTTAGACAAAATAAACTAGGAAAAACCAGTCATATTTGTTCTTTGATGGTATTAAAATACGGTATTGGAATGATGGCCCATGTATCTGAAAATATTTCCACTTTCTAAAGTTGTAAAATTCCTTTGGAATTTTCAATTTTGTGTAAAACCTTCGAATTTCGGGCGATGTTTAACTAATTTACTAGATGCCGCTGACATGATTTGATATGATCGCGGACGGGGGTCACAGAACGCCCGGGGGATAAATTGACTACCGATTACAGTATAAACTTGATCATCAAAGGAACAAAAGGACAAAAGTTAATACTGGTATGTCTTTTATAGAAACCTAAAGGCTTACAAAAATTGTATACCGGTACGTTTTGAAACGCCACTACTTTTGTAGCATTTTTGTTATGGATCGACCACTCGTTACACGAGACCAAGCTATTGATTTGGCAGACGAAATATTTGGCTTCAAAGTTGATTCAAGCTCGGCAAAAAGTGCCAAAGAACTAGACAGCTATGATGATCGAAATTTCTACCTGCGTGGCATGAAAGATGGCAAGGAAGGTGAATTTTTACTTAAAGTTTATAACCGCTGTTTTGAAGATCGAAAAGTCATTGATGCTATTCATAAGATTATGTTTTGCTTGAAAGATGGAGGGGTCATTTGCCCGTTGCCACAAAAGACTGTAACAGGCAATTATCTAGAAATACGGAATTTACCAGTAACACCAGGCATACAGGAGGCAAAAAAGCCCAAACTTGATGAAAAGAATGATTTATCCCTATGTATTGTGTGTCTGTTCACGTTTGTGCCTGGCAAGACAATAAAAGATTTTCAAGATCATGGTCACACATTCAAAGATGAGCTCTTCTACCGGGTTGGTCAGATTGTGGCTAATGTTGCTAGTGCATTAAAGGTATGTAATTTATAAGATATTGATAATTTATTACAAATAAAATCCAACATAATCAGTATCAATTAAATTATATGTATGGCATGACACTTTTTGTGTGCCGGACATATGGCAAAGTGTGCACCAAATACAAATAAATATATTAGCAGGAGCAAGGTTGACAGGTTGTGCATGGCACATGTTTCGTGCATATCAGATATCACCTTCATTTCATACTGCAACTGATATTAATCAATCAACAATCAGTGAAGACAAGTTTGGTAACTTCATTGATTGGTATTGATATTTATTGATTAGAATTAGGCCAAATAAAAAAAAATACTTGGTTAGCGTCACACTCTCACAAATTTTCAGAGGCGGGCGGGCGGATTTTTTTTTTAATTTTTACTCGTTTTTTAATTTTTTAATAGTATTTTTGGAGGAGATGGGGGGGGGCGGTTTTTCCACCATATCGGTGATATTTTTTGTACTGATGTTGCGAAGGCCGCCATTTTGCTTTAAGAACCTTGTATACCCAAGCCTACGCGCTCCTATCGATCAGTATATAGCGCGAAGGTCTGAGCATGAGAAAAATTTCAAATATTAAACTGTTTTAAGCTGTAAAACGAAGAGATTTACATAAAAAAAAAATTTTAAAAAAATTCAGAGGCGGCAGAAAATCGAGAGGCGGGCGGTGACGCTAACCAAGTATTTTTTTTTTATTTGGCCTTAATAGATATATTTATTCATAACAATTGATGAATTGACCATGCTTGCAGATACTTGATTACTTGTAGATACTTGATTACTTATAGTTAGGCAAATGTTGCATTGATTGAAACATTATTATTCATTGTGTGACTAAAGACTAAAATATATTGTAACATAACATGATAGTTTGTCAATATTTATAAAGGTGGAAACCTTGGTAATGTTTCTGAGAGGAATTTCAGAGGTAAATTGCTCGAAAATAGTTCTCGATTTCTATTCATGTGAATAATGCCTGACTTTCATAGTGTGGGTCTTGTAAAAAAGGCAACCTGCTGCTCTTGTGTTGCCCCCAGACTGTTTGGGCAATGGGGGTAGCTGCTCCGGCCTCCGGTGCCCCTGCATGGTAGTCAACAGACAAGGGTGGTCATGATATCAGTTCTGGCCAGCTACAATGCAGACAAAATCTTATGCGTGCAGGGGAAGATGGGAAGTAAGCTATCATATTGCTGATTATGCTGAAAAATTTCAATAAAAACTGCCGAAACAACCGAAATATTTCAATATTTACAAGTATAAGCTATCACTCCGTGTTTACACGGCCACCATTTTTATTTTTTCAGCATAATCAGCAATATGATACCTTACTTCCCATCATCCCCTGCACGCATAAACTAAAAGCTGGAATTGCCTATTGCAATTTAAAATTGCAAAAAGGTTTTTTAATTTTGAACTAATTCACCATTTGTGTTTCCAGACTATTGTCAAATGACACTTTTTGTATAGTAGACACCGTTTATGTGGGTGAGATGGGGTGAGATGGCACGAGGTTACCAACCTAACCCAATTAGCCACAGTCAGAAAACAGTATAATGGTAAGAGGTTGGTAACACCTTACCATTAACCCTTACCCTGACCTCGGCCTAATCCTAACCAATCTTGCATCAATAAATTGTAATAATGATGGCCAGAAGATAATAACATATGTAGGCTCATCATGCAGCAATACTATTGATAGGCTCAACCAGCAATACTATTTATATAATAACGTTAAGAATAGGGGTGCACCGGATTCCGTCCGGATTTAATTAATTTTCCGGCATCTGGCCGGATTTGGAGAAAATCCGGCCGGATTTAAATTTCTGTTTTCACCTTAAAAAATTCACCAAGAATGGGATAAACCATCAATTTGGCAGCTCTAAAGTTTAAAAAACACTTATATTATTATAAAATATTACTTAGTTATTAACAAAAATATATTTAAAAAAGGTTTAAACACAATCAAAAATCTAAACTGACACTAACTAAAAATAGTAAAAAACATAAACCGCCATTTTGAATACTGATTTATCCCCAATTGTTCCCATTACCGGTTTATCTCAAATCCGGAATTCCGGCTGGAATTTTTGTTCAAATTCGGTTCCGGCCGGATTTGAAAATTCCAAATCCGGTGCACCCTTAGTTAAGAATTCAAGCACTTTCATTGGTCGAGAGCCATGCTCTATTAGAGACCAGACGCACCGAATTACGTTACAATTAAGGTAGCCAGTATTTGTATAGATCATTCCAGTATTTGTATAGATCATGTACACATGATATTTGTAAAATTTGGACATTTTCAAATTTCCAAATGTTTGGGTGGATAAAAAGTAAGCTATTTACCTTTTTAATTCAGGGTTTTCTTCAGGGTGCGATAATTCAATATTTTTGGCCGTACCTGACTGGTACTCCGGCAACTTTTGCCGCGTACCTGATCTGGTACAAACCTAAGAGTCAAGACGTACCTAAGACTACTTCCGAGTCATGCGTTTTTATACCTACGTTTAGTTTTAATACTGGTCCAAAAGCAAAAAAATGTATGGGCAATTTTGTACAAATGAATCTTTAATTATGGTATGTGTGCAACATAATATATAACAGTTCTCAAAGCGTCGACGTTGTAACTCGAATGCCATCGCTCATTTACAGTGGATTTACCGAGGGTGCTAACTGTCTGACCTCAGCTACATACAGTGGTGGCAGGTTGGCTAGTTATTGCTAGGAGGGAGATATAAGTACGCGAATAGTAAATTTCCGCGTACCTACGTGGTACTTGCCTGAAAACAAAGAAGTACCAGACCATAAATTTGGCGTACCTCCGGTACGTTGGTACGCGAATTATCGCACCCTGTTTCTTTTTATTATCAGTGAGCTTGTGATCCACTTTTTTGTTCTTCCCACATTATGACGTCATACTGTGTATCTATAACTGAACAGACAACGGCAAAATCTTATCTATTTGTTAATTATATTTCTGTTAACAAAAAACTCATCCCTAGGATTTAACTGGGAGCCACCAAGTCAATATTATTGTGTTGTTTTTGCAATAGTGTATCAAAACAGAATAGAAACAAGAAATTAAAAATGGTAACAAATAATTATGTTTTATTTGTTCTTCCAGAATAACAAAAAGGTAAAATATGTGTCTAACGTTTCGGTTTCCTAAACGGAAACCATTATCAAAGACTATGAATCTAATAAAAGTTTTCCGTTACTATCTTGCGTCAGATGCGACCTTTGCGAGATGCAACCTTGCGTGCACGCGCAGACCGATTTGAACGCACGCGTCAGTAATCTCGCAAGGTTGCATCTGACCCATAGAAATATTAGACCTATTAGGTCTAATATTTCTATGATCTGACCACAGATGAAGTATATACTTAATCCTTACTTAATCTATGATCTGACGCAAGATAGTAACGGAAAACTTTTAATAGATTCATAGTCTTTGATAATGGTTTCCGTTTAGGAAACCGAAACGCTAGACAAATTAAAGTATTTTACCTTTTTGTTAATCTGGAAGAACAAATAAAACATAATGTTTCAACCTGGATTCAAACCCTTCAATGAGTAACAAATAATCTTGTATTTTCTTTTGACCCCACCAAAATGATAAGTGTTGGCCAGCAAATGTGCAATGTGGTTGGCAAATGGAACCTAGTTTCACTGTCTCGATTGGTGCGTGCCAGTGTAGGTAGCAAAGAATGAAAACTGCAATTAAACTATAAAGCATGGGTTGGGAAAAATACATTGTGCTGTTATACTAGTGAATACAAAAGTTATCACATGATAAAAATGAACCATTCAAATGGATTTAGTCAAAACAAAGTATAAACAAAAAATGTAATTAAATCACATTGTATAGAGTATATTAATATGCAAACTGGGTGAGAAAGACATAAATACTTGTCGTAGTCGTCGTAGTTAATCGTTGTATTAGGTTCGGCGCATGAAAAGTTCACCGTCTAAAACGGGCCTTACAGTATACACTAGTTCAATTTCGTCCAGTAAAACAAGCAAACTGGAGAGAGGTGAAAAGGAGAGATAATATGTCACTACTATACTGTATAAAGTAACTTGAAAAAAATGTAATCATTATTAATATTAGTATAGGTAATCATGCGATAGCGAGTACAATTAGGGATTAATAGTACGAGTGATGTTTGGAAATTTTGCCAAAATTGGACGAGCCGCCGGGGCGAGTCCAATTTGGCAAATTTCCGGCAAACATCACGAGTACTATTAATCCCTAATTGTACGAGCAACATCGCATGATAATAATAGCTTTATTCATCCATCTTAAGATAAAAAAGTACAATGGACTTACAATTACTTGTTTAAGAAAGTATATATGCTGCGGATATGTCTTTATATTACAAATTGTTGTAAGATAATTTAGAAAACTAACTAAGAAGTTAAAACTAATAAATTATTTAATCTAATAAGTTCTTCTAATAAGTTAAAACTATTTATACATATTTACAAGCTCTACCTGAAAATGAATGTTTATGCCTTTCAGTTCCTGAGAAGAATGATATATTGCGATTCCGGTCAATGTTCCTTAAATTGTACTGATTGTTAATTAATTTTGGCAAAACACTGCGACAGGGATGGTGTGGATCGTTCATAAACCTATCAACTTCTCGACTAGTTGCCTCTTCCCTTCTTTCGTTCAACGGTGGTAGGTAATCTTTTTCCAGGCCAAGGATTCTTAAGCTCCTGGATTGGACCCGCTCTATTTCATCTCGCAGGTAATTAGGGATTCCCGCCCAGACAGGTGATGCATACTCGAGAATTGGTCTTATTTTGGATTGATAGGTAATAATACCGACTTCAGCTGGTAACTGCGATTTCCTGCATTCTCTAAGATGGTAAAGGCGTTTATTTGCTTTACGTGTAATCTCTTCAACATGTGCGTTCCATTTTAGATTATTTTGGAACGACACGCCAAGTAATTTAAAAGCGTT